CCAGCAAGCGTGCACTGCACCTGTGAGTTGCAGAGAAAGCCAATTTTGCGCAAATGCCGCACGCAGTGTGAACCTCGGCCCCGTTGCTTAAGAGCACCTGCCCAGCGGGTGGATTGCTTTCAGGATGGGTGTGTGAAAAGACGGACAACATGAAACTTTGCTGACTGCCCCCGGCCTTGAATATATTGCGGGAATGGACAAGGACCTTGCCTTCCAGCTCTATCACGTTATCCTCGCGCGACATACAAAATTAACACATCTGTTCTCTTGCCTGCACAATGCAAGGGATGTATGTGCAAGCTTCACGGCACAAGCTGACGTTCGGTCCCTCTTCTTCCGTTCCTGAACGATGTTCAATATTATCGCCCCTTTTCGCATGCACAAAGCGAAGCCAAAGATGCCTTTTGAACTTGGACTTGTTTCTTTGTGTCTTTCCTTTTTCCTTTCGGTCCTCAAGCTGACTGTACCAAAACCCTTTCTCCGCATTAACGACATGAGATAGATTGGAAGGATCCGGCCAGCTTGTAGGTAGATCATTACATTGACGGCATTTGACGGCTGTAGCTTGGAACGCGCCCTGAGCAGTGGCCAGCTGTCCTCCGACGGCCTTTGCTTGCCTCAAGATACGGGGTGCCACCATCCTGTCTGTTTCTTTGGGATGAGTCCTTGCGGCCCACCCCACTTCAGCGACGCATAGCGAGGCATGGCTGCATGCTAAGGCTGGCCTTCCCACATAGACGCTTCTCTGCAAACTGCGCGAGGAAGCTGCGCTGCTTCCGCTTCGCGGCACGCAGTTCGTGCTGGCCACAGATACCAGAGTGAGCGGCAAGCCTGCAACGTATGTTATCCACGCGAAGACGAGTTCGCCGAAGCTCCGGAGGCTGAGATGGAGGCCAAGAAGAAAGACTATTGGAATCCAAACCTTGACACGTCATCGACTTGGAACTAGAGTTGCTATCGGAAAACGATGCATCAAATCGGGTCAGCAAACACCTTCTGAGCTGGAAGCATGGCGTCGTGTCACCTTTGGGATGGCTGCAAACACGACACTGGAGCAGCAAAAACGTGGCATGGATCGAGCAGGTGATTGAGGGGTCGAGAGGGCAAGTCACTGGCTAGCACACGCTGCCGCCCTACCCTAGTCTGCTAAGTGCTCGACAGCAACACACAGCACGGGAGGATGGGGGAGACCAGAGATCAACAACCCAAGCAAGACCACAGGAACCACGCCACAGGTGTTGCGCGGACGCACCCGCATGCTGGGAGAGAACAAGGCCAGCTCTACATCATGTGCACTCTGGCCAATTGTGCCTGCACAGAAGGGCATGAAGATATAAAACGCGTGTTTTAGTTGCCTGGTCGGACACCAGTGCAATGCAGGCAGGCCACACCAAGTAGTGCATTCAACAAAGCTTGGACGGAAACAGGATGCCGAGCAATAGGGACCAACTTCAAGTCTTTGAGACGTCTTCGATTCAAGTCGACGCACCCTGTCGGGTCCCCAAGGTCCGAGTCTCATGGTGAGTCAGTTCTAGCTGATTGTATCGGCAAGAGTCAGGCACATGCACGGCCACCTGTTGGGGATACAGTAGGCCGAGCATGTCTTAGTGCCATCGTGTAAGCATGTTCCACCAAGCATCACGCCATCACGGATTGGGCCAGATGGGGAGCTCGGCCCCCTCCATGTGCCATTCCTGTCAGCGCAGGGCGCCATGCACGCGAGGTAGTCAAGCTAAATGGCAGGCCTGCCCTGGGCGACGTGCGGCCAGGTGAAAGAAGTCTACGTCTGCGATCCCACATGAGCAGAGTGATCCGAAAATGCAAAACTATGAGCAAGTGAGTTTCCACGTCCTAACCTCCTCGAACCAGTCGTGCCATGCGTTTCCTCGTCAACCGCCTTCTCGTGGCTTGGTGAAACATCTATCAAAGCAGCATGTCCGATCCGCAGCCTTTTATAATCAGGTAAAATCGAAGCCTCATCTCCTGACTAAACAGACACTAAAGCTTCCCCCCAAAGCCATGGTTCAGAGAAGGAAAGCGCCGCTGAAGGACCAAAGGCTTTGTTTAAAGACCATCAGCGCTGTGACAACGTCACGAAGTTGCCACTCGCCTAACACCCACGGCTACATACTCGAAGCATCTGATTTGATACCATCCACACTTCCGTGAATTGCTTGCATTTGTCGTCAGCACAGGGGTCGTGAAGCGAAGCTTACCTGGAACTCGGAGTCAAGCACATCAAGCACGCCCTCGTCCAAGCGCAGAACCGGTTCTCACCTTGCCGGAGCTGTCAACAAGCTGCCGCTGCCTGCCTCAGGCAACATGCCTTTCCAGGCTGCAGGGAAATCAGTGTCAAACTGGGCTCCCACCCCGCTGAGAGCCACAACTTGCTGAGCGCACCGAACAAGCGCTTCGTACCTGAAGTCCACGTCCAAAGTTATCAAGCTGCTCTCGCTTCGGTGCAAACTACATGTAGCGCAGTACCTGAAAGATGACTGCGTTGCCCACGAGTCCGAAGGCTTTAAATATGCACTGCTATTTCCCCTGAGACCAGGACTGGACTAGAAAAGAGGCCTTTGCGCTGTACTAGACGATGTTTTGGTCTCCGTGCTTGTCTGTTGCAGAAGCAACAGTTTGCGGTTGTTGCTGGAGGCGGTCGCTGTGAAATGCGAGGTTTTGTGAACGACTTGAGACTCTGAGAATATACTGGGTCGATGCTGGGATGATCTCTGCCTGGCAGAGGTGCAGGTCCTTGGTTTTACTTGGTCTTGCTGGCCTAGCCTGGATTCGGTGTCCTTGTAAAGGCCGTGGTATTCGCGTGGGATCCCGGTTGGCGCCTTTTGCATCGAACTGTTCGTCAAGTTCAAATTGCAGAATTGAAATATGCAATCTGAAGGGTCATGCTTTGCACAAGTAAAGCAGAATTGCACTCGACAGCTATTGGGAAATTCGAGTTCGCCGGGTCATGCTTTCTAACGAGCAAACCAACGGCGAAAATGCACAATCCATCGGAAGTTGCAGCCCAACACAACGAAGCAAAATCGACGGGTCGCTCGATTCCCCCTTAGATGTCCCGGCACACCTCTGACCGAGGACACAACTGTCCCGCCGCATCTAGGACAAAACGGGATCTACGACATCTAGAACAAAACACCGGAGTCATCGGAGGAAAGACAACGGCACAAAGCGACTCACTGCAACACATTGCGCAAAGTATTCTGCTATCGCGATCCCTTCCCTCTGCTCGACTGAGGCAGCAGCTGCTTCTCGCTAAGCTGCCTTCGCGAGTACGGCATGCAGTGAGGAGAGCTCGAAGGATACGCTCTTTTTTTTCCACGTGCAGGACATCCTGGTGCATGAATTCTCTGGGGGGAAAACCGTGTCCCTTCAGGCGCGTGGGATAAAACCCCCTGTTCTTTCACATGCAAAGAAGCTTCGATCTGCACACGGGCATGCTGTAGGTGACAACGGTTCTAAGGCCTGAAAGTTTAGTACCCTATTTTTTCTGTTGGTTTGTACTTGTTTTGGGATTCTAGTGTACATTTATATAGGATTTCCCTATGACTCACAAGCCAAACACTTCCAAGTGTGTGTTGTTGTCTTGAGGCCGAAAGTTTAGTACCCTATTTTTTTGTGTTGGTTTGTACCTGTTGTGAATATGCTTGGTTGTCTCCCTTCATGCCTACAACATGCCATGCAATTAGAAAGAAAGGCTTCCAGGTGTGCTCTAAGATACAGGTTGCAGAAAGGGACCGTCCCCACGCATGGGTCGTGGTCAGCGCGGGTCTGCAGCAGTGGGCCGACGCAGTCTCGTCTGGCGACTCTAAGGCGCAGCCTCTGTCGGTGCCAGCAGTTTCTTGCGCACCTGGTGCAGCAACTCGGCCGGGATCGCATCGAAGCGGACAAAGAGCATTGGCCACATGGCGGAGCCTTCGTAGTTGGCTCTCATGTTCCTGCTCGTAAGCCATAGGGGCTTGCCGCGACTGACGCGAAACCAGGCTGGGTTCTGCTGGCGTTCGCCTGCTGCAAGGCAGAGTTGGTGGCAACGGCGGAGCCAGTCGTCATTGTCATTGCATCGGTCGAAGGCGTACTGTTCCCACACAGCGTCTTGCTTTGAGGGCTGCAGAAGCACAGGGTCTGCCAAATCCACAGGTGCCCAACCACTGTAGAACTCTTTGGCTCGTGGAAGAAACCAAGAAACCAAACTTTGCTTCTGCTGCAGCAAAGTTTCATAGTTCCAGTCTGCCACATGCTTCATGACTTCGATGAGCTTGCTTTTTGTGGAAGGCTGATAAACCTCCCACAATTGGCTTTTCCAGCCAACACCATCCCTTGATCGCTTCCATAAGCTTGTGTCGCAAAGCAAGAGCTCTCGATTGTAGCGAAACATAAGTCCATGGCAGGCTTGCTCCGCCAGCCAGCCAGTCGTGTCGTTTTGCGACAGCAGGATTGCCTGCAACCGCCACTGATGCTTTCCCGCAGTGAAAGACGGAACCGCATTGGAGTACATCGGCAAGATGGTGGACAGTGGCAGTGATCGATCTTCGAGGCGAAGATTCCAGCACGATTTGCCCATCTTGCACAAGAGACGGGTAGGGCCATCGAACAACTGGAGCAACTGGACCACTCCAAGTCGGTCCGGACCGGCTACTCCTGGCAGCTGTAGCATCTCCTGGCTGAGGTGCTTGGCCAGAGCAACCTTGCCTGGATGGCCCACCAACTGCGTATCTGCTTGGTAAAGGTCACGCCAGCTTGTGAGGCCATCCATCATCAGACTGCTGAGTGGCTTGATGCGCTCTGAGAAGACGCGCATCAGTAGGAGCTCATGGTCACTGCTGCCCCGGAGCTGCGGAGGGCACTGGTCACGTAGGTCCTTAGCTGTGGCAGCAGGCTTAGATAGAGAGTGAAGGTGGACAGCAGAAAGTGGGCAGCAGCACTGGGCAGAAACGGACAGCAGCAATGGGTAGGAGTTGGCAGAAAGTGAACAGCAAGCAACGAGTGGACAGCAATTTGAGCAGAAAGTCTGCAGCAGAAAGTGTGCGGCAGACAGCAGAAGGTGGGCAGGAGCAATGGGCAGCAGAAGTGGGCAGCAGGAAGTGGGCAGCAGGAAGTGGGCAGAAGGTGGGCAGAACATAAGCAGAAGTAGGTAAAGGTGATTTGTGAGCAGGGAAATTGGACAGAATTGAGCAGAGTCGAGCAAGAAGCGGGCAGAAAGTGGGCAGCAAAAGTGGGCAGCAGGAAGTGGGCAGGAGAAAGTAGGCAGCAGAAGTGGGCGGAAAGTGGGTAGAACATAAGCTGCTGCGCACTGCTGCGCGTTTGCGCAGAGCAGGAGCAGTCACGAGCCCAAAATTTGGGATTCCAAGGAGCCTGCTTCAGCACGTCCAGGCTCGTGAGGCTGAGGAGTGGCGGTGTCGGAGTGCTGATGCCAGTCAGGTCCAAGTCTTCGGGAAGCTTCTGGCGAAGTGCTCTGTTACCTCGAAGCTTGTCCAGCTGCTGCCGCACGTGGTCTGACAAGTAAAGGGGCCTGAATAGGCCACCGTGGAGTGTCAGTAGATTGTCCAACCCGTACAAGGTTTCCAAGATGACAGTGCCTACCTGCCCCGGTGCCGCTTCCAGGAAAAGCGGTGAATAAAGCAGCTTCCCGTCCTCCAACTTCACCGCCGCCACACGTGCTCGAGGTGGGAGCTGGCCTGCTGCCGGTGCAGCGGACGACGAAGCTGCTGAGGCCGCCTCTCACTGTTGAGCCAAGGCCTTGCACAGCTCAAACATGCGATCGTTCTGCTCCTTCTGCTGAGCCAGGCTGCTCTTGTGGTGCTCGGCCATCTCCTTATTCTGTTCCTTCATCTGCTGCAGCATCTGGCCCATCAGGTTCATCATGGCCATCTGCATGCCCGCCCCGTGACCGGCCCCTCCAAAGCCTCCGTACAGGCCGTCCTCTGCTTTCACGATCTGCACAGAAGGGACAGCACTCGCCATGCTGGCCTCGTGCGGAAAGGGCTCCCCTCCCGGATTCTCCAGGTGGCATGTTCTCCTCCTGCTCCGCGGCCTCGCGCGGAAAGGGCTCCTCTCGAGGTGGCATTTCCTCCTCCTGCTCCGCATCTGCATCTGCTTTCACAATGGCGGCTAGTCGGCCAGCTCTCGCGAGTTGGCCGGCTCCGTATTTGTCCACAGATCGATCCGCCCATCACGTTCCATCTCAGCTCTCACATCTTCATCATTCTCGGCCACTTCCTCCTCCCCGCTTCCCCGCTCTCTCCAGCCAGGTCTGCTTCCGGAGCTGCTCCTATCCTGTCCAAGTCGGGGCTGGAGACGTGGTTCTCCACATCCTGTGTGGTCAAATGCTGCGGCGCCTCGGAGCCCTGGGAACTCTCTGCCCTGCCGCCGCCCGAAAGCAGTTGCACAGACAGTCCCAGCTGTCAAAGCCTTCGTCTCTTGGACGCGTGGGTGGCCTCGCCGGCATCCCTTACAAGCGGCTCCTGCGAGGCTTCGGCACGGAGAGCCGATCTTCCATGTTCGCGCCGACCAAGCCTAAGGCTTCTCAGCGCTGAGAAACTACGACCTCGAGGGGAAGAATACATCGGCGAGGAAGGGACATGTGCTCTTCAGAGCTCTTGCCTGACTGTTATGAGGCTCAAACTCAGCAAAGAAGAGCGAGAAAAGATAAGCTAGACATGTTTTTTCATGAAAAACATGTTTTTTCATGACAAAACAAGGGCCTGACACGGAGAAGCAAGCTGCTACGAGTTCGGAGGTCCTGTAAGGGCTGCTACAAGACATACCATAAAGGTTCAGGGGGTTTCCTTGCGTTCGTGATGTGGCCATATCGGACAGGAACACCACTAATTGCATCGCAATCCTGAAAGTGGCACACATTCTGGGAAATGCGCCAATACACCATCATCGTCCATCATCGGGGCTTGTGTATAGATTGGAGAGTGTCCCATTATTCCGCTGGGCCAAGCGAAACCCTCAACCGCAAGCCTTAGACCGGGTAAGCTGCAAGCCCCAAGCCCTAACCCTTAGAAGGCACAAGCCATAACCCCCACTCCTTCAAATTCCCTTAAATATTCCTTAAACCTAGGTACATCTAGGTCCTTTGCGAATCAGAGAAGTCGAAGCACAAATTATCCACAGGCCGACACTAAAGACATCTGTGCACAGAAAAGCTGCCTTCGGTGTGGACCACGAGGCTCCTCTCCATCAGAATCATCCGGCCCACCTGATCTCACAACACAGAGGATCGCACAGTCATGTCTCAGCAGGCTAGCATTCTGCATATAACTCGGCAAAGTTTTTACCAGGGGAGAAGTTCAAGGCCCGCCGCTGCGTCAACTGATCCAAGCGGCTGTCATCCGTCCGCTTCGAAACTGCCGGATGCTTCTGGCCTCGCCGCGAAAGACGCGGAAGCCGCGAGAGGCGGAGTCTCGGAGTCGCACTGAGAGCCCTCGGAGTCGGCTCCACACCTGTCAGCTCATGCAAAGCTGTCGAGGAGCTGTCGAGGCCCGATGTTCGACGCCACCCTGTCTAGATTCTGGATCATGTGTGGGCATGATGTGGTCTGCCTGCATCTCGAGGAGCACCTCCGCCTACTTCGAGCAACAGCTTACATCGCGAGAGACCCGAAGCAGAAGGCGAACACCTTTGTCCGGAGATCCTTGTCGTAGCGCCTTGGCATTAAGCGGCTTTGGCCAGCAGGGCCAACCCTTCCAAAGCGACGGCTCAGTCGGCTCAGATCCTTTCAGCAGGCTTTGCTGTCAAGCTGTGCTGACCTCGTCCTGAGGCAGCAAGGATGCAGCAATAAGCATGCACAATGCGGAATTTCCGGCCACAAGCGGTCCTGGAGGAGCTGTGGCAGAATGACGGGTGCTGCTGACACGTGCAGAGGCGACAGAGGTCTGACAGGGCACGATCAAAGAAGCGATTCAGGGCAGCAGGCAGCAGATTCTTCGAGCGGATAGACAATCATCTGCGTGGACAAACCGACGGACAGGAAGAGGAAAGTCACCAGCACTAACAGTAACATGGTCATGTACCCGATGTACCCGTCATCAGGAACCGGTCAGAAAGCGAGCATGCACACTGGAACAGCCGACTCGCACTTTGGCAGCAGTTGCAATACTTTATTCGCGCAAGGAGCCGTTTCTTCGCATCTGTACGCAGTTCATGCGCGGGCTGGTTCAGGCACACAGGAGCACAGGCTGACGTGTTGGATACGCACATGGCAGATTCCCGAACGGAGGCCGCGACAGTCGCACACCCAGATCCCCGCATTTGCCGACTGGATTGGCCCACCCGAAACATACACCTTAAACCTAAACCGCTCAACTTACAGTAAACACCCTGAGCCGTAAACCCTAAAAAACTCAGCCCGCTCCAAGTGAGGAGGTATGAGACCACGGCGAAATCGGAATAAGTAAGAGGGAATGCAACGGCCACCTGATGTTGGCGGGAGTCAACGCTGTTCTCTGTGTGGGCGTGGAAGTGCGTGAAATATCTCGGAAGAAATTAAGTGTACAAACCGAAATGCGCGGCATGTTGGTCGGTGGCGCCCGCGCAGACTCGGGGCGCGTCGTGGGTCTCTTGCCCTGAGCCAATAACCCTCCCTTTGGCTAGTGCTCTTCGTGCAACTCAAGCTGCGAACACTAGGACGACACCAGTGGACGATGGTAGTTCTCAACAGGCTTCCCCAAACACGCCTCTTCCCAAAAATTACAAAAAATCTAATCCAGGGTTATAGGAATTGTCGACATGCAGAACACCGGTCTCACGACCGCACGTCGACTAGTTGCCCCTTTCTGGGCCACCGAAGCTCGACCACCAGGCTCAGCCGCTGGTAAATTTAAAACACCGGAAGCATTGCAAGGATTCCCGTCCACCTACCATCGCTTTACAGTTGAACAATTCATCGACGCGTCAAACCAGGCTGCGGGTTGCGGACTCTCGGCTCCTGCCTCTGGCGGCATTTTACTGCAAAATTGTGGTGCGCAAATTTGCTTGTTTGGAGCTGCCAAGTAATGGAAGCCCCATGCAACTTTGAGTGCTGCCCTATTGCACGGCAGCCTGAAAACGCATGCCACAAAACATCAAATGTAACAACGTCAACGATGTAGCTGTCATTCGTGCAGGTAATACCGTCGTCAGTCACTGAGTCGCAACATGGCAGCATGCATTCGGGAGGGAAGGTTGAGGTACCTGATGGAAGCCCGTGCTTCAAACACCAAATCCCTAAAGTCCCACACCTCAAGTTCCTGCAACCTCACGACCCCCTTCAACTGTCAAAAGTCCAATAGCCCTGCCGCCCCCAAAGGACAAACACCTCGAATCCAGAATCTTCAAGCCGTGCATGCATGAACCGGCTTGATTAGCTGAAACCGCAGATGCTTGCATAGGAACTGTTCGTGCTTGAGTCGTTTGCTTGAATGGCAGGTACATGAACCGCACATGCTACACGGGAATCAAATGTCACGGTTCGGGTTCATGTCTGTAATCGTTTCTCATGCAATGGCAGCTTCAGCGGTGAAGGTAAATACCAGTGCAAAGACACGAAGGGGCGTAGAGCTTAGGATGAATCCAGACAGACCGAGAGAAAAAAAAAGCCAACGCCAAAGTTGGTGGGAGGGGGGGGGCCTGTTGGACTTGCAGCTCTCGGCTTGTGATGGGCACTGAGCAAAACACGAAAACAACGAAAAGCTTGCAACCTGAAACCCTTAAACCCTAAACTCTGACAGCCTGATCCTTAAACTCAAACTCTGCGACGGCTACGTCTCCGACGACTCTTGTTACGACCGCTCCGCTAGCACTACGGCTGCTGCCAATTCTATTGGCAGTGCCGCCAGTGCTCCTCTCCGAATCTCACACCAACACACCTACTCCAACGCCTTCTATGCTACCTGCTACTACTACTACTACTACTACTACTACTACTACTACTACTACTACTACTACTACCACTACCACTACCACTACCACTACCACTACCACTACCACTACCACTACCACTACCACTACCACTACCACTACCACTACCACTACCACCACTACTACTGCTACTACTACTACTGCTACTGCTACTGCTACTGCTACTGCTACTGCTACCAGTACTACTACCTCTACCTCTACCTCTATCCCTACCTCTACCTCTACCTCTACTTTGATACTACGACTACGACGATGACGACGATGACGACGAGCACCACCACCACCATAACCACCATCCTCCACCACCATCAACACCATCACCACCACGACCACTGCTTTGCCACTGCCACTGCCGCGACTATTGCTGTGACAGCTACTACTCCTCTGAGAACTTCAAGCAACACATCGGAGCCAATGCGGGAATCCATGAAGCAGGCACCTTCGAAGTTCGCACTGCCACGGATCTGGATGCAAGCTCAGTGGGCGCGCTGACCTGCGAGGGTGCCCATGTGCACGAAAAAGAGTCAGGTGGCTTGGGGCGCAGTGTGACAACGTAGAATCTCTCTGGCAAGCTGAGTCGTCCACCATGCGCTGCGCAGTTGAGATAACACCCTGTCCGCGTTCTCTTAGCATGCTCAAGCCGGTTTCCCACATGTTCATTTGGCCAACGCCATGCAAGCATGTCCCGAACGAATCTTCAAGGGGTACCGATGTCTGCCCAAGGCATCTCTTCCAGCGACGAAGGGCTGAAAAGGCGCTGGCTGGCAAACCCTGAAACCCTATACAAAGAGATGGCTGGCGTGCCCTCAGACAATTCTGCAAACCCCAGATTCTGCTTGAAGTGGTTTTGAACCGACTGTTTACAAGACGTAATCATCGCTGCACATCGTGCTTCGCGGTCAGGATAGCACGAGTGCATCCAAGATGTCAGTAAGTCGTTAGCGTATAAGAATAGAAACTGAGCACCAATCTCGGTGACAAGAGGAGAGCGATGCCCGGCAAAGCCATAAGCCCGACACACAAACTCCGATCCCAGCAACAGGTGACGACTGGCAAGCCCTGAGTCCTAGATAGAGAGTGATACCCGTAGCAGCCCAGCGAGGGCGGGCATGCCCTGAACATCCCTGAACCATACGGTGAGTGCTACAGTAAATTCAGTCATGGCCGGTAGAGCGCAGCAGCCTCGGAAGCAGATGGCGAAATTGGTCGCGTGTCGCGGCGGACTTTAAAGGTCCTTGGCGTGTGCCGGTGCTTTCGCTCTGTGCCCTCTGTGCACTTGAGGCTCGAGTAAGCGCGCAAAGGTGGACAACTGAGCTTCTGACTGTGGTGGACCCCTGAGTCTGCTCTCAAAGCGACCATGCAGCAACTTAAACCGGCGCGTGTTCGATATGACTCAGCATATGTCAGTGCATGCATGCGACTGCCTGAGGCGCTGCGGTACAGACGGAGACGCTCTGCCTCGGGATGCCATTCAAGTAGACAAAACCAATGGTTCACGATCGCCAAGAGAGCCACCAGTTCCGGGTGATGGTGAGCGGCTATCGTGCCTGGTGCACACAGTTTTGGACTCCACGGACATGACATGAATGTTTGGCACGAGCCTTCCCACTGTCCTGGGGCTTCGTGTCAGAGCTTTGTCTGAATGAACACGTGCAAGACCTAGGAGACGGCAGTAGATTTCTTGGAAAACTCTCGAAAACAGGAGCGCAGGAGTTCGAACATGTGCAGAGGCCCCACGCCCTCTGCTGAAGCGCTTCCAGCCTTGCACGCAAGAGACCACTCAGCAAACATACAAACAGTTGGTGGCCATCTTCGCGGATCTTGCAGTAAGACCACCTCCGTTTTGTTGCGGATCTATAACCCTCCATCGCCTACCGCTGGCATCTTCAAAGGAGACTGTCTCTTCCGTCTGTTTCCACTTTCTTTACATGTGGTAGTTGTAGTAACATGCAACATCAACACTCGGACCTAAGCATGTAGATGCGCCGAAACAACCCAGTCTATTGTTCGTGCATTCGACTCGATGTGGCTTCGCGTCCGAAACTCTCCCGCGATAGGATAGGTTTACTGTAAGGCTCTTCAGTTTGGGCCTCGGGCCTGCCGACTCGATGGCCCCTTCAGCTTCAGAGCCTTCCTTCCACCTTCGCCCTTCCGGGGCTAGGCCGATTTGCACAGCTTGAGTTTCCGTGTGCCACTGCGGGGCAGCCTTGCCGTCAACAAGGTCATACTCGATACTCGGCTAACGACTTGAAGGAATGAAGGCCGGCAGTTTTCGCTCGGCAGACGGATGGCTTTGAAGTGCTGAGCATGTTCATACTCGTCGGACCAGAAATCCTCGAAGGAAGGGAAAGCTAGGGAGGCCGAGTCGAGCACCGGAAAGACCGAGTTGCTCACTGTAAACTGGCCACAGGACCTGAATATCCCGGATTCGCGCACTGGGCCCCGGATTCACACACCCGGGATTCGCGCACTAGCGTGCAGGATTGCCGTGCTGACTCCAGCACCAACATCATACCCTAGAGCCAAAACCTTGAAGCCTAAAACCCTAACCAAACATAGCCAAACCCACAATAATCCTGAAGGTCTAGAGTCTAAACCGTAAACCCCTGAAAACTCTGCTCTTCTGGCCCAAACCCGAAACCCCCAACTGTAGAACCGTAGAAGCCAAAAATCTTTAACCCAAAACCTTGAAACCCTGAAGACCCCTAAATTTCAAAAATCCTAGACTCCAGACCCTTCACCCTTCAAACCCTGAAACGTGTAACCAGCAAACACAAACCCTACTTCAGTCGAGTGCCCGCTAAACCCTGACAGCCAAGCACCCAAAGAACGAACTCTGCTAGGCTGGCTGCTTTGGGAAGACAACAGCGACTACATGGGAGATCTTGGTAGCTTCCGTGTAGACCGAGGGATCATACGCCATCCGCTCATGTGTTTCATGCCGACATGCATCAACTCAATCAGGAGATGCGACACAGGCACACACGAATCCAAAAGTGTCGAAAGCCTGACAAGAAGTCCAGCAATTGGGCATGCTTCATGATGACCTGTGCCCCGCATTGACATGTCCGGCAAACATCGGGGTGGGGTGTGGGGAGAAGGGGTGAGGGCGTCTTAGCTTATTCGCCCTTTGTTTCACAACGTAGGTTACTGCGCAGGTAAGATCCAATCAGGGAAGACTGCAAGTTGTACAAATTCGTGCCGAGAGAAGGATTCCCAGATTCTTGAACCGTGCAGGAGCGCATCACAAGACGCTGCAACGTGCTGTTCACGCGCGCCGTTCAAAGGATGAAGTAGTAGGTGCTACAGGTTTACATGGCAGGCGCAGCACTTTCAGGCTTTAGAACTTTGGGAAGTGAAGAACTTTCAGGCACCGAAACTAGATGAAAATTGGTTATGACTGCTCTCCGGCTTGGGTTTTGGACACATCGAGGTGATTATGTAAAGGTCTGATCTGGACGACTTATCATGGTTGGCACATGGACGCTCCGAATGGGCATAGTCTGATCCCGACATTAGCATGGTTGGCCCATGGATGCTCGGGACGTGGAAAACGACGGCAGGCGCGACGTTTTCGGCAAACCAACTCCGCCAAATACCGTAAAGACCGATGCATTCGAGGCCTCCACACCCGCGCCTTCGCTACCCCCGAAAAACGCGACAGGCGCGACGTTATCGGCTGCAAAGTCCGCGAAACACCGTAAATACCGACGTGGTCGGCGTGTGCGCGGCGCACGTGAACAGCACGTTGCTTCCCAAAACAACGCACTGCCGTGAATCCACGTCAGTCCACTTAACATGTCGTTTCGTCTGGCCCGAGCTCAGCGAAAACCTTTGCCAATCTCGGAACATATAGGTCATAGGTCCTAGGTCGCATCGATGCTCCCTTCCTGCGCGTCGTACCTCCTGGGATTCCTGGCGAGATTACAATGGTGGGAACCACCGAAAGCAGCAAGAAGAAATATGATTAGCATCACTGCAACCTCATGTTGCATGGCCGGGCAGAAGTGCGATGCTCAACTGTCTTGGGCGAGTATCCCCAATCAGGCAGGCTGCTTTCGACATGCAAGCCGTAAAGCCATCAAGAAAGAACGCAGCAATTTGATTCTTAAGCGGATAGACCGAAATATTCAGCGGAGCTGCAGGTTTCCCGGAGCGAATTCGGGTTGAGGCCGCTGCCGACACCCCAAACTCACAATTCGCTGTGTCCGAATAGTTGCTGCCGCTACGCCTACGCTAAAGGCAGTACGGATTATGTCTTGCATGTGTCGACTGTCAAGCTGCCAGTTGCAATCTGCTGCAGTCAGTGCACATCTGGAGGAGATCAGCCTGTTGCATGGATTTCGGATGCTGCGTTTCACAAACCTTGCTATAGGCTGAAGTAAAAATCAGCGCATGCATAATAGTTTGGCTTTAAGCTGAATGTGTTTTTGCTGGGTTCGTCACACGCACAATTGCGCCATTGAGAATAATCCTTCGCAGCTCCCGAGGTCATCGCGAAGATGCCACAGACCGTCTCCGCCCGAGTACGCCCCTGCCGTGAAGACATGGCAGCTTTTCCGAGCATCCAACCACCCTTCTTAGACTAAGGCAAGCGCAAGTGGCGCAGCTGCGGTTGCTTTCGGTGGAGATGTAGCCTCCTTCGACCGCGCTGAAACCTTAGCTTCCCCAGAACAGAAAGCTGGCAGTCACAACAAGCCTGGTCCAGCGCAAAGAAACTGAGCGAGTGATTTTCAATGTACCCCGACTCACTAGCACTTGTGACAAGCACAATCACGACCATGACAGTCACGAGATTGATCTGATGAAGCAATAAAGATGACGATACGATGACTATGCCAAAAATTGACGACAAGGATGACAACAACGAGGACTGTGGCTGACGACACTGATGGTGAATGTCACAGTACAGAAACCGGCAAGACCGGCGATTTCCGGTGATGATGCTCCTGAGTGCTGGGCACTGCTGATGGCGACCGCCATAACGATGATGGAGTAATGATGATGAGGAGGCGGCGGAGGAGGAGGAGGAGGATGAGAATGATGATTGTAATGACGATGATGAGGATGATGACGATGTTGATGACGATGACGATGTTGATGATGATGATGATGATGATGATGGTGACGGTGATGATGACATGACGACGACGATTATGATGGTGGAGATGGAAATGGAGATCGAGATGGAGATGATGATGATGATGGTGATGAGGATGAGGATGATGATGATGATGTTGACGAAGGGCCAAAAGAATACAGATGGTGAGGGTGATCATGACAATGATGACGGGGCGGAACTGAGCAGTTGGATCGACCCTTCGTCGCTCGTCGCTCAAAAAGAGCCTAGCCTAGCTGGTCTGTTGCAGATGATCCCTATACCCCCACCCCCTTAGACGGGGGGGATGCTCATATTGTAATTTAGAATTTGAGCCCCCCTAATTTGCGGCACTCCTCGGACGCCACTTATGCAAATTGTAAAATAAAAGCGGTTTACAATTATGCGCCTCCTCTACCATTTTACATTTTTAAGAGGGCGGGAGTATCCCTATACTGGCATGTCGGAATCGGAAAGTAGAGGCAAAGCCTGCGTCACCCAAACTTATTGAACACATCAATAATCTACGGCGGCCAGGACTCTAGGACACTCTAGGACTCCGAGACCAATCCCTTGAAAACAAAGCCAAGGCCAGCACCATCGCTGGGCTGCCGAAGGCCACAGAGGAGATGGCACCTCAAGCGGCGAAGCGAAGGGAGCCTTCCGAGCGCCGCCGGGGGGAGGGCACCGAGGAGCAAGCGAGGCCGAGCTGAGACCCGACTACTTCCACTTCCCTGCACCTACAGAAGGAAAGTGTGAAAACACCTGCGTTTAGCCCTTCGAGACGACCGAGGGCAGCACTGGTGACTGGGAGCGGCTATGCGTGCCCTGCTGCAGGCGGCTTGGAGCGATTACAACACAGCGATGCGGAAAGTCTGCCTTTCCAAGCTCTCATGCCAGAACCTGTGACCAGCCGAGCCTTTCAGCTCACACCTGTCCTACCAAGAAATGGACATGTTGGTCCACGGCTGACCGCCGATTTTGGGTCGAGTACAAGGGTGTGGGCCAATACAAACTAGTGAAATCTGACAGTGCAGAGCAACAAGCACAGGTAGGCAAGATCCCCACACTGCGCCATCGTAGCCGAGCACCCTTAGCCTTCAATTGCCTTCAAGCCGCCTTGCTCGCCTCCTCGCTCCCGTGTGCACCTTCGCTGAGCCTTGCGTTGCGGCCTTTATTTCTCAATTTTTGAAAGCAGCGATCCTTTTGTCCCAACGAAGAGGGCCATCACGGCTGCTGTGTGTTTGCCATCGCGTGACGTGTGGCTCCTTCGAGATGCAACGGCGTGGTTCACTGCATGCCACACATTGCCACACTCAACGAACTGAGCCAAAGTTACTTTGGGGATCATTGGGGCGTCGGCTGCATGAGTCAAACGAGTTGTCGAAAAACTAGGGGGTTGCCGAAAGGTCCGAAAGAGCTCAATCAGACTTCTGATTTCGTGTTCGGACACGGACAGCCCTCAGCTTCAGGCATGGATTCCGACAAACGGAGAAGCTGCTCGCAGTCAGCCACAAACTTACTCCCCCACGTCGATTCACGCACCAATCAACACATCCATCTTGCACACTGGATCGATCATAAGTCGCCCACAACCATCCCAGCATCATGAATCTGTTAGCGGGCATGCATGCAACCGGAACCATGCATCCCGAGCTGCAAGAAATTGTAGTTGAAGCGCCCCTGGCTCCCTGAACTAGAATCTAGATGCCTGCCTGCTACAAGCTGCCACAAGTATGCTGATCTGTCGGGTCGTGGCCTCGATCTCCGACCATGCCGTCGCCTGACGCTGCGAATCGCAGTGCGAATCGCTGAAAGATGCTTCGAAGTTCGAGGAGCAGCTGGGAAGTCCGCTTGTCGGGATCTTCCCAGAGCGGGCCTGAGACTGAGACTTTGTGATTTAAGAGCCCGCAAGACATCAGGATTCTGGTCCGGGGCCTCAAAGCTGTAGGTCCAGCAGGAAATCCCTGACAGGAGGACTTGATCCCATGCGCTTGCAACCTCCTGCGCTATTTAGATGCGAGTACTTTCGAGGATGGACGCACACCATGCCTGCAACCCACGCCTCGAACGAGTGAGGGGAGACCTTGCAGAGAGCTCCAGTAGGAGAGCCCTCTGAACTTCCCACATCTTCGCAGCACGATCGAGATTGGTGCAAGGAAGACTCGGGAGGCGGCGCCGTGACTCGGGCGGACGACACAGGCTTGGCGTGGCCTCGTTAGGCAAACACCAGAAATGTCACAAGGATCCGGAAGCAGGACCTGAATGAACTGCACACAGCACTGGCGCGCTGCTTGGCACCGGCTGCGAGGTACGTGCAGACACCTGAGCCACGTGACAACAAGGGGATACTGCACAGTCGTCGGTCGGAAGACCGAGCACAAGTGAAATGAACGCATGGAGTTTACACCGTAAATCAAACCGTCTCGAGCGGCTGCAGCAAACATCGAAGCTACTTGCGGAGCAGGCACTCCTGCAGCACAAGATGAAGAACCTCTCTCATCTCTGCACTGGTCCAGCAGCAACTCAACGGGAACAGGCCTCCACTCGCACTGGCACTGGAGGATGGGACCGCTGGCACCTCAGCGGTCTCTTATAGACCTCTCTCAGGTCCTGGCTTCCAAGCCGCGTGCAAGAAGCGAGTCCAGGGCCTGGCAACCCAAAACAAGGATTCACAGTGCCTACAGTCTAGAGTCTAGTCTTCTGCCCAGACTGATCAGATGCTGCCTGGTTGTTCAACCGACGAAGCAGCCTGGAGAAGCAAGAGCTCTCGGTCAACGAAACCCTAGGACCTAGGAGTTTGGCCAAATCGTTGGCATCACCTGAGGACGGACTAAGGACTTGACCACTCTTGTTTCTCGAGTTGTTGCACCGTGATGCCCACCTCAACTTGCCAGAAAAAGGATAACAGGAGTCGCGAGTTGCGAACAGAGCTTCGGCACCTGATCGGACACGCTCGAGTAGGTGTAGAATGCAGACAGCCAGCCATGCAAAGCTTCGTAGCACTCGTTAACCTCCATAACACACCATGCTGAGCTCACACATGCAGCAACAGCGTTGTCTGGCCTCTTTCTCTCGTACACGCCTAAATTGCGAGCCGGACCTCACCGGACTGCGCGCCCGCTGCGAACCGCTATTCATGTGCCATGCATGCTCCGCGGTCGCTCGAGGCGAGCACGTCAAGAAGGGTGCCAACTTCTTTGCCTCGCTCTGCTTACGCCCACATTAAACAACCGCAACGCGGCGCCAAGCCTCATCCGAAGAGAAGGCCGCCATACCGCACAGCTTCGATGTGAAACTGACCAGACACGGTGCAGCTGCATTCCGTGAACTGTCTCCGGCAAGCCAAAGCCTTCAAAATCCCCCCTGCATTCAATTAGTCTCAATCCTCGCTTGCTTGCTCCTTCGTTCATCTTTGTGCTCTTCAGCATTACAAACGGCATACGCCGCATCTGTTGTCAAGTCTTCAAACTTTCCCACACTGTCTCCCCTCCGCGCTTTTCTTGCTTTGTGGCTGGCACCATTGTAGTCATGCCACCCCTGGTAGCAAGGCGTTTGAAGGAGATTTGGGGGTCTTGCAGAGGCTCTGAGCGACTGAGGCCTGTGGGGTCTCTTCATGCAGTCATGCCTGTTGCAGAGGAGATGGTGCACGACATTCCCTCGGCGCCTCTGACTCTGCTTTGCAAGTTCCAAACAGCTTCTCAGATATCGCTATGCGGTCCCGTGCCGCACCTGTGAGGGTCTCGGAACAGCTTGCGAGCTCCGCTGAGCAATGCCTCTGCCGTGAGCGATGGGACCTCTGCATCTGACAGAAATGCAGTGCGTCTGCCCACTTCCATGCAGGACGGCAAGCGAGCTCCGAGTGCTGGCCTCCACTTTGAAGATGGCAAGCAAGCACTGCATCAGCCTCACGATGGCCTCCTGCACCCGCACTCGAAACCCAAGAATTAAGGAGTTTGCTCAACAATTGCAGATCGTCACATCTTGTGAACTCACATATATCATAGGAGTATGGAGAAGGAGACAAAATGGCTGGATGGGACACCATATCAGCTCAGCTCGCAAAGCATGCTGTCCTGAACCTGCACGGCCAAACCTAAGCTTCGATTGGACACTCTGTGGACTGCCGAAAGATCTACAGGGAAAAAAGCGGTCTGTGCGTCTGAATTGGGTCAGGCTAGCGACTTGGCTCCCGCAAGTTCTTCTCCAAATACGATCGCAGCTGAAACCTCTGGAAAGTCTCGCAAGTGAGTAGCATTGCTTGCAGCTTCAAGGCTGAAGCTGAGACAGCTACACTGCATGTGGCGAAAGTCGTCGCAACTGAGCTTCAGCGCGAGACAACTGGCTTTTGAGTTCCTGATCGGGTCAAGGTGCAGCATGGTCCAGCTGGCAGGAGCTTGTCTCGCATGCCTTCACAGCTTGCGCTAGAACCGTTTCTCCGACAAAGCACAATTCGGCGGCCAAAGACTTGGTCTGACCGGCCAGTGGGTTGTATTCAATTCACGTGAAACAGGTGGAATTGGGAAAGCGTCCTGAACCGACTGCGACTGAAGGCTGCAGCATGTTCTCACACGAAAGAGTGGTCTGCACTGCATCTTTTGGACAAATCAGATAGGAATGCAGGACATGCATGGTACTGCCGTGGCAGGCCGCCCTCACAGATCACCACTTGATGTGGTTGATGTGACTTTCGAGTCGCTCCTCGGCATCCATGGTGCCTTATCAACATCTTACCTTTTGTGTGGATTGTGCTGGGGCATCTGCCGCTTGGCAAGTGTCGGGTCGTGTCCCGTCAGATGCCGAACCTGTCGAAGAGCATCTGTACCAGTGAAGAATGCCAACACGGTACTTTGACTAGGCAGTGAATGTGTCCGCACCGTGTTGTGAACAAAGTCCTCTGTCATGGCCGCTATCGTCGCCACCTTCAGAGTGACGGTTTGGTGACTTGGCAACCAACCTCTGCGATGAGATGTTCTGAGCATTCACGATCTCCACCTCGCGCTCAATCACGGTGAACTTGTTGTCAAGCTTGTCCAGGCGATTCGCCAAGGTGCCCATGTTCACCTGTCGTGTCTGCTTGTACATCTGGTGACGTCACGAGACTGCATGGTCGAATGCCATTCATGGCAAAAGCCTCCACTTGGGCGATGTCTCGGCGCTTGCCTCCTCCTACCAGCCTCAGACGACGGGTACATATTCATCGAGAACAAAAGCGTAATTTAGCACGGGCATCTGCAATCCATGCAATGGGGAGATTTCTTCGGCCAGCTAGCTTCTCAAAGAGCCGTGTCCGAACGCGATACTGCTCTGTGCAAGCAGGGAAGTTGACTTCCGACTTCATTCTGATCAGGACAGGAGATATGATGTTGTTACGAAGGATGCCGGTCGTCGTACTTCCAAACCCCAACACCCATCATCACACGCAAAATGACTGGTCGATCCAAACACCAAAGGTCGTTCAACAACGAGCTGACACGCTGTTAAACGACTCCAATCACAGCAAACCCGTCGACTGGCACGGTACACTTGGAATTGCTCCGTGACAGGCCACAGTCGAGATCACATTCAGTTCAGCTGTAAGAAAGCCGATGGTCTAGAGCCACTACAACCATCATCGGGGACCCGGCTGAGATTCAAGAGCCAACAGGTTTAATGAAGTTCATTCATGGGCTGGAATTCTTAGCTCCGTGCTCTCGGCAGGCATTTTCCTCAGGAGGATGCTACGAATTTCGCGCACGCGGGTCCCGACGGCACACATTGAAACCCCAAGCTGCAGAACAAAGGCAGAAGAAGCACAGTTCTGGCGACCACGAGCATTCCCCAGGTATGAGCGCCACACGAAGCGCACAAGCTCGATCTTCCCCGAGCGATCCACGTCCAGCAGTGTGAAAACGTGTTCCACCTCGGCTTTGGATGTTACTGGGCACTCGGTGCTCCTCTGCAACCTTTACGCTGAAGATTCCCCGCCTCTTCGAATTCCAAGCCGATGGACTCGAATTTCTTCTGAACGATTACCTGCCAAGCTTTCGTTCTTATTGGGCAAAACTATCGCAGGATGCGGTTTTTGGGACGCCATCCCTTGCAGAGCCAGAGGAGGACCGAAACTTGTGCGGCTCCGATCCGCTTGCTTGCCAGTCAAGACACGCTCTGGTTTGCCGCACGCAGGTCCTGAAAACAGCAGGTGAAGAATGCCGGAGTTTCCGAGGATATGACAAACTATAACATGATATAGTATGATATAATACAATACAATATTATATTATACTACATTATGTTATCTTAATGCATTAATGATGGGCACCCACATACGTACAAATCTAACTACATACATAATCATACATACATACATACATACATACATACATACATACATACATCTTTTTCTTCTTTCATACGCTGCAGAAGAGATCCGCTTTGCGAGGCTGTTATGACAGGGAGCCACCCCGGCTACTGTGAGCCATGTGCTTTGCACACGTCGGTGAAAACGTGCTAGCAGCCAGAGCGGTGACGTAGGACCTGCCACGAATGGCCCATGAAAGTCCTAGACATGCTCAAGGCTGCACGGTGCGGCAGTAGAAGTAAAGATAGCCCGTTGTCAAAGCTTGCATGGAGAGCTCGGAGTGAACTGTCGGCTCTTTTGCATCGTCGCATTGCCAGTGAACGGGCTCTGAATCCGGAGGGTAAGTGCAGAGGAGTGCACGGTAATGACCGGAGGCGGCATCAGGACCCTCGTGCATAATGATCGCAATCAACTGGTATTCGCAGTGGCGCACACACAGGGCAGCATCTTGCGGGATAGGGTGGTGCTGAAAGCAGGGTATCAGAATGCGAGGATCCGGTAACACACTGGTGACGTCCTTTGCACCGGCAGCCGAGGGGCTGAACCTGTTAACCTGCAAAACCAAAAGGCCCGGCTCACTATCCATGGCGGTGAGTCCCGCAGCAGCTTGATCCTTCCAGGCATGGATGAGCCGCTGGATTGTGATCCGTCCACTAGTTCCAGCATCACACTGAGAAGGAGGCTTAGCCAGTAGCATAGGCCATGCGTCCCCACAGTCCTGACAGAGAGGGGGATTGCAATCGGTAAGAAGTAGCCGATTTTGCCACCTGCCCATGAGCAGATCCGGAATGACAAACCTGCGGCAGAAGGCAAGGTATTCCGCAACGTCATGCTGGGAGTGAGGTCGAGCCCAGCGAGAGTGCAAGAGCGACCATTGGAGAAATGACCAGAGGTCCGGGACAGGCGCCTGCGTAGTCATTCGCCGCACGACTGAATGCATGGCCGCGGACCAAATCACCTGAGGACGAGCCGCGTCAGAGCACAGCAGTTGATTGGCCCAGTGAAGACAGCACATCACCGAGTTGGCGTAACAATGGTTGGAAGCATTGACAACACGGAGCAGCTGGGGTGATTGGAAGAACAGTCTGTCTCTCCGGACGCAGAGATCCGCCCACCAACTGCCAGATCGCCGAATTGGCCAGCGATCGGAGGCTCAGATAGAGCTCGGCTGCTTCCGGCGACCTGTGACCCACCTGGAGCAAGAAGGGCACGGTTGGACCCTGAAGGGGACCGTTGAGGCGCTGAGTGGAGTGGAATCGCATGATGGCCAGAGGGCAGAGGCATTGCTTCTGGAGGAGCTGCAACTTCTCGAGCATCGTGGAAACCGGGATCGGCGGTTGATCCTGTCGAGGTGCCAGAGATTTGGTCTCCGGGTTGTAGCTCAGGAAGGGAATGCGTAGCTCCGTGTCGCCCTCCTTGGGAAGAAACACCTGAAGGGTAATGGCAGTCTTCAGTTGCTCGTCGTTCTTCACGGTGTCCTTGATGCGCTTCACCAGGGTCTCCATCATTGTGTGGAAGAGAAAGGATCGTAGAGGAAGGGCAATCTCGTCCATTTTCTCCTGCTTCTGCTCTTTCAGAGCATTCCAATGCTGAGACTTCTGCACGAAGAGAAGAACCAGGGAGAGGGCACTCTCTCTCTTGAAGAACATGACAAAACCGTTCTGAGTCCTGTCGATTCCCATCTGATCCTCGTGGCGCAAGAGGAGTTTGCCCAGCAGCCACATCATGCCATCCGGGGCCTTGGAGTCCGACTCCGTCGATCGGCGGAATGGCTGTCGACGAGGCCCATTGTTCTTCGGCGGCTGGCCCGATTGATTGCCTTTGCCCCTCCCGCCTCGTCCGAAACCACCCTTGGATTCCGGTCTGGCCCACTTCGCATCGCGCTCCTTCTCCTGGTCTTCCGCATCCTCCATTTCGTGACGCTTGTTCGCTGCATCCAGAACCATCGCATCCTCTCCCCAGCACTGGAGGAGCTGCAGCTCGGCCTGAGCCTCTCGTTGCTGAATCTCCTGTAGAGAGAGGCCGCTGCCCAAAGCCTGAGAGGAGGCCAAGCTCATGGCGGACGAGGACGCGCAAGGTGATGGTCTGTTGCAAAACAGGGCAAGCGGCAACGTGCTGAGTTTTGAAGGACACCGTAAGTCTGCACCAGCTACAGGGAGAGCGGGCAGCAGCTGTACGTGCTGTGAGCCAGTCAGCTCGCATGGACTCATGAAGTGCAGAGAGCGGGTGCTGACGCTTCAGATGCCGAAAGATGTCCTGTGTGCGAGTGAACCATTGGTGACAAACAGGGCAGTGTCGCAATCCTTGACCAGAGTGCATGATGCGAAGATGTCGGGCCAGGGGTTGCCAGTCCTCCTGGAGAGCCATGGCACGGATATCAGGTCGTTGAAGGAGGGGCAGCGCATCCGAAACCGCAGCCGAGGGGGAGGAAGAAGGTGCCTGTATAGGTGGAGCGGTGCTTGGGACAGAGTGCTCATCACCAAGATCAGGGGCTGCGGCCAGGACAGAGGAAGAGGCAGCAGGTGCAGCAGGATTTTCACAAGGGTGCCGTCATGGACCTGAGCGGGACAAGAGTTGGTGTAGTGATGGTTTAGAAAGGGTGGCCAAGCAGCAAACCGTCGATCGCACAGGGCACAGTGAGGCATACCATCCTTGGCAAACTGCATGAACCTGACTCTCAGCTCTTTTTGCGAGGGGGGACGCGCATGAGCGGCAGGCGGTGCGGAGGAGGGGGCCGGATTCTCAGCCTCCTCGCGAGGAGGCGTGGCAGTATGGGCTAGGGCAGACACAGCAGCAGACGCCTCGGAGGGCATTTCGTCCTGGTTGGGCGTTTGCTTGTGCACTTTGGTGCAGTGTGTACGAAGAGCAATCAAGGTGGGAAAGGTCTGCGGGCAGTGTGGACAGGCAAAAGTGCGCGCAACGATACCCGAAACTTCCACAAGGTTGCAACGAGAAGCGCACTCGGATGGCTGTACAGCAGGGGGCTGATGAGCTTGAGGATCGGGCACAAACGAAG